CTTGCCTTCTCCATTAAATAAAATATTCAATGAATTTTTTAATATTTAATTCTTATTTAACTATTAAATAAAATTATTAGACTTTACGGGCCAGATAATCTGTTTTAACTATTCAACTCTGCTGTTAAGTAAAAGTAACTGTAGGTTATGTACATAAGAGGCTAAGTCTGTTAACTCAGAACAAATGTGCCTAGTTGCCAGATTACCTATGATGATACTCTAACAGTGATTATTTTCCTTGAAAATTGAAATTGAATCGTCAAGGTTATATCCCTCACATCCAGCTTATAATCTTTAATCATGCTGACATAACTAACAAGGGGTAGAAGACATGACAAATAGAAAAATGTGCAAATGAAGTCTTACGAAAAGATCCTGAGAAAATTATACAATTGTATAAAAAACATAGTTCTAACTCATCTAATTGAAATATTCATCAGTATTTTCATGAAATAAAAGATACTTCATATACTTGTTGATATGGTTTGGCTCTGTGTTTCCAAATCTTACCTCAAAATGTAATCTTCCCATGTCAAGGGAGGAACCTGGAGGGAGGTGATAGGATCGTGGCGGCAGTTTCTTCCATGTTGTTCTCATAACAGTGAGGGAGTTCTCACTAGATCTGACAGTTTTAAAAGTGGCAGTTTCCCCTGTGCTCTCTCCCTTCCTGCTGCCATGTACAATGTACCTTGCTTCCCCTTCACCAATGCCATGATTGTAAGTTTCCTGAAGCCTCTCCAGCCATGTGGAACTGAGAGTCAATTGGCCCTTTTTCTTTATAAATTATGCAATCTCAGGTAGTATCTTTATGGCAGTGTGAAAATGGATTAATACACACTTGTTCTTGTTTGTGTACACCTACAATAAATTTTCATGAAACAAAACCCATCACCAATTTACTTCATTTTATAAACTAAACCTGTCTAACACAGTCTATGCTTCTGAGAATAACTTCTTTTTAGCATCAATTTTTAATATTCAAGGCATTTTAAGGTATACTTGGGTAGTAAGAATTAAAGAGTAAGGAGAGAGAAACTGAAAATTTCGCTAAGCAATTGATTTGTATGTTTCCTTAGCTGAACTCTCTAGAGAGGTTACTACTTGCCTTTTTATAGTTTTTTTTCCCCATATCAGACAGTTAACAGAATCGTTACCCTGATAAACCTCTCATTGAATATTTTTAGAAACAAGGTAATCAGAAAAAGTGTTTCTCAGTGAAATAAAACAAAAGATGAAGATGCTGAGATTAATCATACAGTAGTACAGATGTTGAAAAAAGAAATTAAAGAGTGGCATGAGATAATCTAATTTTTAAAGCATCAAATTTTAAATTGATGTTGAACTCTTACTAACTTACTACCATATAGATATCACCAAGTCTCAACTCTTTGGTCTCAGTTTGACTGAAAAAAAAAATCACTCCTCATGATTAGGAAGGAAATAGCAAAAGACTAAAATACATATATTAAAATGTTTTTATGGGCTTCTAGAATAGTTAGGAATGTTCAGACTGATTTAATTAAAAAAAAACAATGGGATCGATTCTGGGACGTGATTATGGATGTTTTTCAAAATTCTGTAAGAATATGTGTAGAAAAGAAAGACTAGCTCAAAGGAAGAAGCAGAGATATGAGACACGTGTATTATTCCTTCTCTTTTTAGTTATTAGAATTTAATAACTGGTATTAATAAAAAACATTTTATATTTTAATAATCAGAAATTTAATGTAGAGCTATACATGACTATGTGTCATATAATTAAAAACAAGCTAATAAATCAGATAATTAACATATCTCTAATTTTTATAATAAAACTATTAAAGTGGCAGGAATTAAATGAATGGTAATAATCTTGGGAAAAGTAAATCAGGAGCCAGGATTCACAGGAACTGTTTTAGAAACCCCAAGTATGAAATTTAGGGTACAGCCATAAATTAGCGTAGTAATTTAGTTTTTCTTCTGCTGCACTTATATCATATACCAATTTAGAGATTTTTTTCTTGAAAATCTTGATAGCCTGAATTATCTGTCACAAAAAATACTTTAATGAGTTCTGATTATATGATGTATATACAGGACTGAGTGGATACAAGGTACTATTCTCCTTCAATGGTTGTCTTGGGTATATTGGCCTTTAGCTCAGGTATTTGTAAGATGCTACATGAAGGTGTTCCTGGTGTCGGTGCTTACTGCTAATGTTCTTATTTTAAAACAAACTTACATACAATTATTCTAAAAGAGTCTGAGTTAAGTCTATTAACTCAGAACAAATGTGTCTACTTCCCAGATCACCTATGATACTCTAACATTGATTATTTTCCTTGAACACTGAAATTGAGTCATCAAGGATATACCCCTCATATCCAGCTCATAATTTATTATTCTGCTAACATAACTAACAAGGGGTAGAAGATATGACCAACAGAAAAATCTCCAAATGAAGTCTCATGAAAAGATCCTCAGAAAATTACACAACTGTATAAGAAATAGTGATTTTGAAAAGAAAGATTTTATTTTGCACTGGGACCAACGTATTATTAATCAACAGCAATGTTAGTCAGTGTGGCTTTTGGGTCCTCCACCCTGCTAATTTAATCTTTATTTCATAAATGTGAGTATGACACTGCAGTTAAAAAAGAAAGAAAGAAAGAGGGAAAAGAGACAGAAAGGAAAAAGATGGAGATGAGAGGACAAACCAATCAGATTTGGAATTACCAGTCAGCAGAAGTTTAGGGGAAAAAAAATCATCAAGTGAAATCGTACATTTACTCTGAGAGAGTATTCTTTCACATTGCCTTCTAGGTGATCTCTGAGCTCCTCCAGCTTTCGATGGAGCTACATGTAAACATCAGAAAATGAATTGAAAAAGCAACTTGTTCTCTTTTCGGTTTTCCTTTTTCCTTTTAAATATAAGATCACAGCATTATACATTTCTCACTGCCTTTGGCAAACATTTCAAAACTTCAAAGGTCTTTCTACAATGTAAGAATGCATGCTCAACAAACCCGTGACTAGGAAGTCAACATTTTATTTTGTTTAATTACAGCATCTCTTCTTCCCAAAGCATTAGAGAAAATATATACTATAACCATCCTTATAATTCCCTAGAGATTCACTTTGATATTTTCTATTTTGTAGAAATATGGCATAAAGATATTTAAAGATTATGAAATTTGACTTTCTTTCCCAAACACACTTTTTGATTTAAGACTGCATCCATATTAATATAAACTGATTGAACTATAAAATGTATCTTTTGTTCTTAAACATATATATGTATATATATACTCATATTGTATATACACTTAAAATCAATAAACATACATTTATAACTTGAAGTTCTATATATCCAGAAGTCGAACTTGGAGATAACTGCACACACACACACTTGCACATACAATCTGGTTTACAGTACACAGTGCTACAGTTATGGATGCCATTTTTATTTCACCTTCAGTAATTTTCAGTCATGTCATTCTGTACCTTCTCACTTGAATTTGAGTGATAATCCATAGTTTAAACTATAATGGATTTATCTTCCTTTAAAGACCAAGGTAAAATGATACCTCACAGATAGACAGTGAGGAATGCTACTGATATATAATCAGGATACATAAACTCACATTTTTCTGACTGAGTAATCTTAAATTGCCTACGTTTTGAAATAGGCATACAATTAACACTTCCCACCCCTCTGTTTATCCTTGGTGAAATAACATTTTAATAAAATAGCTACCCACTATAAAGCAGTGTTAAAGAACAGAGGGGATGGCTTTTCTGGAATAAAGGACACAAACATACAAACACACCTTCACCCATGTGCACTCATGTGCATGCGCACAGACAAATAAACAACAACAAAAAGGTAAAGCTAAGAAGGCAGAAGAGGCAAGGAGAGGAAAGAGTGCAGAAATTAGTATTTCATAAATTATTAAATGGAAATAAATTGGAGGTGTGCAAAATTTTGAAATGATTCAATATTAGGCCTCAAGGAAGTCATTAAATTTTAGGACATCCCAGTGTACTGAATTATCTAGCATTTTGATTACTTTAACAGTTACTATTGCTGTAAGGGCAAATGGGATTGAGATATAAGAAAATGATTAATTTTGTGAGGTGATTCTTCTGCATATTTTTAGAATTCAGCAAATTTTCTAACTTGCATTTAAGGTGGCAGCATTAAAAGTGATCAGTTGGTGTTTCTTAAGAGTGATAACTAATTTACCTTTTCATTATGATTAAAGGTTTGAGTACTGAGTACCCAAGGCATATTGAACAAATAAATATTTAGCAACTAGCAAACAAGATGATCAAATTAGTAATCTTTAAATTGTATATTAGCAGATTATATATACAAATGGGCAAACAACTAGGTATGTATCTGGTTCTGTTGATTGTTGTATCAGTTTTTTTAACTTTTAAAAAATAAAACAGAGATTAAGAGGGCATAACTACTATCAGCTATATGTGAGCCCATTATACTGCATGACATAAAATTCCTTTCTAATTCTTAAGATTATGTGCATTGAATACATATTGTTAACTCATAATAACTTTTCTCTGAAATGAACTACAAATGGTAATGATACCAAAATAACATTCAAATTATTATTTTTTTTTAAAGTTAAAAGGGAGATAATATTCTGAAAATAAATGTTAGTTCTCTGTGTAACAGGAACTTAACACACAGTCAGTGACATCAATCAGAGGAACGGTTTATTCTAGAACCCCAAATTATAGGCACCTGTAATGAGGCAGTTGCCCTTTCTGTTGTTTGCGGTGCCATTCAAAGCTAATTATTTGGCAGCTTGCCTTCAGCTGGTTGCTCTATGTGTAGCTGAAACAAAAAAAAATGACCCAACAGCCAATAAAAATATTAAAATTAAAAAAATGGGATGGTGAAAAATGGAAAAAGCCCCCTTCCTCCCACCACCCTCCAAAAAGGAAGAAGTGTAGGCTATAGACGAAATCTTGCCAAAAAATGTTAGAAACATATTTACTTTGAGGGATCCAACTCTACTAGCAACTCCTTTGCTTTCATCCGGCCGTCTAATTTGCTACAATGAGGGAAGATGGGCAAAAAAGACAGAATAAAGAAAGAGTGAACTTAAAAAATTTTCTATACATTAGTAAGTAATACATGCAAAAACATCAACTGACTCTGTGGTAGCTCTTAGGAGGCCAAGGAGTTAACTAACCCAGAGGCTGTATGACATGCTCTGCAAATAGGCTGGTCCCTAGAATTCAGTCTTTGTTATGGCATTATCCCTGAGATGAGGAAATTGGCACTTACTTTTGGTTATCTTGGGGACTTCTGAGGAAGCAGTATCTGGAGTAGTGTTACATTTGCATTTGGCTTACAAAAAACAAAGAATTACAAATATACCTACGTACTTTTCTCTCTTACTGTTTTACTGTCTATCCCACTGTAATATCAGAAAACATAAATGGTATGACTAGAAACATGAATGTTCTGTAGGTGGAAAGATCAGTCTTGACAAGCATCATTCTTGATAGGTGACAGAATGAAGCTCCTCTGCTTGCTGACCCAAGCACTGAGGGTGTTCAGCTGTCACTGAGTTTCCCAATTAAACAATTGTGCTGCCCAACCAGAAAATTTTAATGCCAGACCAATGTTAGATATACTTACTACCTCAAAGCTTTCTGTTATTTTAGTTGAATTTTCCTCTTGGAAAATTTCCTATCTTGAGTAAGATAGGGAAAATGAAAAGTAAAACTGCTTTTTAAAATAAGTCATTTCATATACTACGTAAATAAGTAAGGGGAAGTTTCTAAACACAAAGTATTTTATTAGAGGAGGTACTTTTAAAATAAAGCTCTAATGTTTTGGATAAAGAGGGAGGCAGTCAAAAAACAAAACAAAACAAAAAGGGCAGGGTGAATAGCAGGAAGCTTCAGACCAAGTGGTTTTACACTATGGATTCTGTACTTGCAGAATGAGGTCTCAATTCAGACCAGCAGAGGTAAAGTTAGCTGTAATGTTCCTTCTTGTTTTAGGAGATAGTAGAAGTATCAGTATAATGCCAAAAGTTCCCAGTTAAAGTCTTCAGGTAATAATAGAAACCTGAACATCCTACAGAATTTTATTTCCTGGAAGTAGGATACATATTGTCTTATCCCTTTTAAAAGAACTCTGACAGCATATGGAGATTGCTGAGGAATAATTAAATACTGAGATAATTGAATTTTCATTTCGAATAAAAGCATCTTGGTAGATAAGAGTTGCATCAACTTTTGGCGCTACTTGATATAAACAGATTTTACTAATTCTTCAGCATTAACTAAATGTTATGGACAAAAGATAATCAATTCTAACTCTTAGTAGAACAGAATTGTCAAATTTAGAAACAGTGGATACTAATTAGAACAACAGCACTTATAAGAGAGGGGCTCTCCATGAAGTGAATTCAGAGTGAGTTCATAATATCTTCTCATCCTCTTGTGCTGTTTTCTTTGATTTCTGAGGTCTTTATATCAAAAGCTGCTTTCTATCTTAAATGCAGATTCACAGTATCTAGATTATAAAGGTAGAGTTGGTAGATTCCTATAAAAATCTAGTCTGATGCCTCATGCTGCTTTCTGAAAATTTTCAGAAACTGTGAAGATGTTCTGAATTTACACAGTAACAAGTGAAAACCATTTTCTATATTGTCTTTTATTTCTAGAAGGCTTAACATTACATTAAGCCCAGCAACATTAGTTAGCTTTTTCAAGGTTACACTGGAAGTTGATGACAACTCTAGGAACAAAATCAACAGTCCCTAATTTCCAGTTTAAAGTAGCATTCCCTTAGCATGCCTGAAAATATATGGGCTGGAAAAAAACTGATGCTCATAAGAGAATGTATATGTATATGTAACTATGTCTGTCTGTCTCACTCCATCTGCAGAAGAAATTTTACATTACTATATATATATATGGAAGACATTTTTCCTGTATGGTTTCAGTTCCAAATGCAAGTATAGAAACTTAAAGAATGAATTACAAGAAGAAAAAAAGACAGTTACCACTAAACTCTGAATGTAAAAAATAGATTCTAAGACTGATTTAAATAGAGACTTTGGGAGCAAATAGCTTATCTAAGCTTGATATCAAATTTCTATAAATAAGCCTGTCTTTGAAACCATCTAAAGTGGAAAACCAAGGTGTTTGAAGTCAGAAATGACTAAAATTCAAGTTTCATATGAGGTGTTTTTTTTTTTTGTGGCTTCTGAAATAATACCTAATATTGAAAACCTTCAGAAATAATTTGAAAAAGATGTCTATATACACTAGAATTTAAGAAATAGAGAAAAGTGAAAGCAGTAGATTTAAAATGTAATGTCCTTATTTATTTTAGTCCTCCCTTAATCATCAGTTATAGTGGGGTGGTATAGATAAAAGAGATTCACAGCTAATTCAAATGCTTATTATTATTATTATTATTTGAGACGGTGTCTGGCTCTGTTGCCCAGGCTGGAGTACAGTAGCACAATCTCGGCTCCCCACAACCTCTGCCTCCTGGGTTTAAGTGATTCTTCTGCTTCGGCCTCTCGAATAGCTGAGATTACAGGTGTGCTCCACTGAATCTGGCTAATTTTTGTATTTTTAGTAGAGACAGAGTTTCACCATGTTGGCCAGGCTGGTTTCAAAGTCCTGACCTCAGACGATCCACCTGCCTCTGCTTCCCAAACTGCTGGGATTACAGGCGGTAGCCACCGTACCTGGCCAAATGCTTGATTATTATATTTTGGATAAGAATGTGAAAGAAATCTCAAAAGATTAGCATTCAGATAAGATGAACGACTTTACTCTTCATGATAATCATAAGAGCCTCACATCATTAGCCATTTTTATTAACACTTTTCTGAAGGCAAAACACTATCAGTAGCCAAGAGAGGTTAAACTGTAAATGTTTATATTGCTTGTACCAACACAGCAATACAAATGAAATTTGAGAATTGAATGTAAATAATTGTGAGGATTATGGAGTAAACTGAGATTATTCATTTACTTACATATATTGATAATTAAAATTTAGTAGCAAAACAAAAAGTCATCATTAATCATGAAGAAATCTTTTGACAATTCTTTTATTGAGATTTTAAAAGATATTATATATGGAATCCAAAACACTTCAATATTCTATTCAGTCTCTTAACTAAAATGTATTTAACAAAGTATTCCTTAGAAACAGTCTGAAAATGTGGCACTGTATTACCTCTTTTGCAACATTCTGGGAATCTTTCCTCAGGGATTAATTACTGGGGAAACTATCCTCAGGGATTAATTACCAGGACTCAGCCTGTAGTAAAACGACTCTGACATTTATATTTACCTTTTTCCAAGAATTTAGATTCTATTAATATCATGCAACAAAAGAAATTGCCTGGATCCTAAACTAATATGTAGTGTTAATTCTCTTTGATTTACATCAATTTTCTAAAACTGAGCTTACTGTAAAACTTTTCTACCATTTAAAAGGTAGAGAACTCTCTAGCCCCACCCTCACTTCTCTTGCCAAAAATAAGTAATTGTAAATGTAGTATTTTTATTAAACCAAACATATATTTCATAGTTTAAAAATCAACTTAATATTAACTTTTAAAATAAAATACAAAACTTCAAAGAAATTTTAGGCTTATGATAACTGCATTAAGGTAGACTCACATATCACTGGGCGTACACATTTATATTTCTCTTTAGTTACAAGATGTTTGGTACAAATTTTTTTTAGAAAATGTGTATTTTGCATGTTTCATTTACTGATGCAGGAACCAAGGTCTGGGAAGGTTCAGTGGCTTTCTGAACACATGAATAATAATATCAAAGTACAGCTGGTATTACATTCTGACTCTCAGGTCTTTTAATTAAATTTAGTCTCTCACCTATGCAATGATGAATGTAGACCTTCTACCCCTCTCTCTATAATATATTTTATATCAGTTTAGATTAAAATTACATGGATTAAACCAAGATTTCTGTTTGTTTGTTCTAAGGAGTTAGCCACTTTAGTTTTAGATCTCATTATATCTTCAGAAGTATTCTGAGACTAATATTTTTAAACTTATTATACTATATCATGGCTTTTTAAAAAAGTATGACTATCAATGAAAAGAAATAAAACATTTTTATTAGAAATTATCTTCCAACGAGTATCACTTAGTATATATTGGTGCAGATATAGATTGTTTCTGGGGGCTATGATTTGGAGGAAGAGATTTTTAAAAAGAAGTTTTGCTTAAGAGCTCAACATTTCAACAAATTCCTATAAATAACAAAGGACTTTTTGGATTTAGTTAATATTTCACTTTGCTATAATATTATATTATTCTGCTATTTCAATAGAACTGGTGCCTCATCACAAAACATTGTTTAATTTGTGATTTATTAAGATAAGGATAAAGGAAGAAATAAATGAAGTAAGAGAGGAAGTTAATATACAAGTGTGTAAAAAAATAATCCCTAATGTGTTTCTGGAGGAAAGGAAATATGATTATAAAACTGAACTAATAAAAAGCTAAAAAAAATCCAGGAAAATTTGCAAAGGGTAAGAATGAAGAGAGAAGTCAAAAATTAGAATCAAGGTGGCAAATTGATCCTCCAAACCCCTCTGCCATATTTTTATCCTTAGGAAATCATCTTTTTAAAAAGTTTTGATTTCCAATAATATATTAACATTTACAATTATTTATTTATATTTTATTATACATTTATAATTTTGATCTTGAAGTTCTATATAGTTTTGATTCCAAGATAGTATAATCTATACAAAATTAGACCTTTATATAAATTATTTCTTTTTCACTAACTGGAGAATAATTCAACTGATATTATTTTTTACCAATTTCTTATCTAAAAAGAAATTATAAAACTCATCTTTAATAAAAGAGTTAATATGGGTTAAAATAAATACCCTTTAAGCAGCAAATTATATGTTCTTAATAATTTTCTATTATTTGTACATGAGACCAAATAAAATTTATCTCTGAACTGTCACTGAAACATGATAATTTTCTATCCAGCAGGCTTAAGAATAGAATGGCTTATCCTGGAT